AGACTCCTCTATTGGGCCAGGTTTCCCTTCATCTTGGACCTCTTGGTGCTCATCACTTGCCTGAATATGTGCCTGTCCCTGCTTTACGCCTCATCTCAGAGGACTGATCCAGCTTGATTCTTTGCCTCTGTCTAGTTGTGAGTGTACTGTAATACCTTGTTACTGACTCCCAGCACTTGGCATGCCAACCTCAGAGAATGACAGCAGTAATCTGGACCAGTCCAGAGATACACAGATTCCCCTTCTCAGACTTTTCTGTCCACCTAGAGAAGAGGTCCTTCTCAAAGAACGCGAACAGACAGGGAGACTGACCTGACATCTTCAAGTCAGGTAATATGAATTGAATAATGATGTTCGAGTGACACAGCTTAAAGATAGCAATGATTCTGCCGGGGACACTCTGATCAGGACTGTATCTCTTTACTTCATCTTGCTAAACTTTTTTGGTAGACAATCCAGAATGCATAAACTACTTTTGGCTTGCTCTTTACCCAAACCAGCAACCTTGAGACACTGTAACTTTTTAATTGGTCTTAGCTCAGGCCCTCCCTAGCCTAGCATCAAATCACTTCCCCTCTAAAACTGCCTTTCTCCATACATGGGGAAGCAAATTAGCAAGTGTTGGAGACTGCTACTTTCCCACCACTGTACATTCTTGTGCTTTATTTCTTTTAGTAACATAAGTCCCTGAGATTTAGCAATGAACCTGGATCCTCAGAATAAAGACTACATTTCCCAACCTCCCTTGCAGCTATGTGTGGTCATGTAACTAAGTATGTGTGTGGAAGTGATGGCTGCAACATCTTAGTTACTTGCTTGAAAGGAAATGACTTACCCCATACTTCCTTTTTCTTTCTCTCTTCCTTTTTTTTTTTTAACATTGGTTTATATTTGGTAACATTTGGTAACATTGGTTTGTAACATTCTATAAATTTCAGGTATACATCATTATATTTCGATTTCTGTGTAGACTACATCATAAGTTCACCACCCAAAAACTAATTGCCATTCATCACTGTACACATGTGCCCTATCACTACTTTTGCCCTCCTCCCTCCCCCCTTCCCGTCTGGTAACCACCAATCTAATCTCTGTATCTATGAGTTGGTTTGTTGTTGTTATTGTTGTTTTTATCTTCTACTTATAAGTGAAATTGTATGGTATTTGACTTTCTCTGTCTGACTTATTTCACTTAGCATAATAACCTTAAGGTCCATCCATGTTGTCACAAATGGCAAGATTTCATCTTTTTTATAGCTGAGTAGTATTCCCTTGTGTATGTATACCGTATCTTCTTTATCCATTCATCCATTGATGGGCACTTAGGTTGTTTCCAAGTCTTGGTCATTGTGAATAATGCTACAATGAACATAGGGCAGCATATATCTTTATGCATTCATGTTTTTGTGCTCTTTGGATAAATACCCAGAAGGGGAATAGCTGAATCATATGGTAGTTCTATTCTTAATGTTTTTAGGAATCTCCATACTGTTTTCTATAGTGGCTGTACCAGTTTATATTCCCACTAGCAGTGGATGAGGGTTCCCTTTTCTTCACATGCTCTCCAACACTTGCTATTTCTTGTCTCATTAATTATAACCATTCTGACGGGTGTGAGGTGATATCTCATGGTAGTTTTGATTTGCAGTTCCCTAATAAGTAGTGATGTTGAACACCTTTTCATGTGCCTATTGGCCATCTGTATATCTTCTTTGGAAAATAGTCTATTCAGATCTTTTGCCCATTTTTTAATTGGGTTGTTTGTTTCTTTGTTATTGAGATGTATGTGTTCTTTATATATTTTGGAGATTAACCCCTTATCAGATAGAAGGTTTGCAAATACCTTCTCCCAACTGTTAGGTTGTCTTTTCATTTTGTTGATGGTTTCCTTTGCCTTGCAGAAGATTTTTAGTTTGATGTAGACCCATTTGCTTATTTTTTCTTTTGTTTTCCTTGCCTAGTGAGACATAGTATTCAAAAAGATGCTGCTAAGACTGATGTCGAAGAGTGTACTGCCAATTTTTCCTGCTAGAAGTTTTATGGTTTCAGGTCTTACATTCAAGTCTTTAATCTATTTTGAGTTAATTTTTGTGTATGGTGTAAGATAGTGGTCTACTTTCATTCTTTTGCATGTGGCTGTCCAGTTTTCTCAACATCATTTATTGAAGAGACTTTCTTTTCTCCATTGTATGTTCTTGGCTCCTTTGTGGAAAATTAGCTGTCCATAGATGTATGAGTTTATTTCTGGTCTCTCGATTCTGTTCCATTGATCTGTGTGTCTGTTTTTGTGCCAGTATCATGCTGTTTTGATGACTATAGCTTTGTAGTATGTTTTGAAATCCGGGAGAGTGATACCTCCAGCTTTGTTATTTGTTCTTAGGATTCTTTTGGCTATTTGGGGTCTTCTGTTGTTCCATATAAGTTTTAGGATTCTTCGCTCTATTTCTGTGAAAAATGTCATTGGGACTTTGATAGGGATTGCGTTGAATCTGTAGATTGCTTTATGTAATATGGACACTTTAATTATGTTTATTATTCCAACCCAAAAGCACCAAATATCTTTCTACTTCTTTGTGTTTTCTTTGATCTCTTTCAATCTTCCTCCCTTCTTAGGGGCTAAAACACAGACATAGTTGTGATGAACCAGTTTTGACTACGCAGAGAAGGAAAATATTTTAGGGGATGATGGAACCACAAGATAGAAGGACTTGGGTTCTCTGCTTCTAAATCCTTAAGTACTGTAAGCAAGTCCCTTCCTCTATCTGGGCCTCAGTTTCCCCTTCTGTAAAGTGAGGGTGTGGACAGATGATTTCCAGGGGTTCTGCTAGCTCTAAACTTCTATATGTCTTTGAATGCAGCCACAGGCTGTATATCAATGCCTGAAGTTCTAGGTAAAGATTTGCTGTCTCGTGTCTCCTCTGTTAAAATGGAAAGCATCCAGGGAAGTCTCATTAAATCTCAAATACTTCACTGTGAATGTGTTTCTGTTGATCCCATTATTTTTCCTAGATGGACTGAAGGGGTAATCTGGGATCCACAGCCTCCTAGATTGGTCACTAAGTGGAACACAGAGAAGGAGGGGCTATCAGGAAAAGGAAGAAATGCGGCAGAGGCATCCTTACTGTTCAGGCACCATCATTCTCAGTCCTAGTTTTGCAGGGAGGCCTGCCTGAGGAAACTCAACCACTAGTGGGATGAAGGTTAGCCCACTCAGATTCCCCAAACTGGGCCAAACAGTAGGTCCTTGGGCATTACCAGGGGCCACCCCCTGAAGAACTGTGGAGCAAAATTCTCATCACTCATGTCTTTCACCTCCCAAGCTTGGCCGCTCCCAATATTCCCATAATGGGGAACCTTCCCAGGCTTTGGGCTAGGGTTGGCATATTTTCTTGAGGTGCTGATTGGGACATTGCTCTGGATGGCATCCAACTTGCCAGGTGTCTGGTTGGAGGCAATCAGAGAAGCCCTGACAGGGCAGACCCTGCATGTAGTTTTTGGTTCCTTGTTGGAAAGGCTAATAAACTTTCTGTGAAGACTGCTGCATTTGCACTTTGGGTTGTTTGCTGATCAAAGGGCAATGATTATGCCTCTCGTCATGTGTTTCTGTTAGTGCACATGATCCTAGACTCCCTTATTCTACCTTGAGTGTTAGGCAGTGGAAAGGGGCTCAGTTCTGTGAATCTGATGAGATGAGCATTGAGAACACATAGGGGCCATGTTTGTAATTCCAGTCGCCAAACAGAAAGGGCACTGGGGCCCTGCTTTGCCCCAACTGCTTCTCCACCCAACCTCACCTGCCTGACATTCCTTTGCTGATGTCCCTGCCTTTCCTTTGCTCACCTATGTTTAGCGCTTAGAAGGAAATGAAGCAGGGTGCAGGGCAGGCTGGTGGAGGGATTCTGGAACAGCTGGGGCATGTGCAGCCCTAGTTCAGTGGCCGAGTCTTTTAAGGGCAGTGGGGAGGAGGCTGCAGAAAATCCAAGTGAAAGAATCTTGGTGGAGTGATATAGAGGCCAGAATCACTGGCAGCCAGTCCTGGATCCTAGTGCTGCTTCATGCTTATTCACGTATTAGCTGGATGACCTTGACCTTATAGGACACAGATAAGATGACATAGGTGAAAGTACTTTATAAATGCAATACAAATGTTTGCTTTTATTATATGACTCTATTCGAGAACATAGTAAAAGATTCTCCACCACAAATTATCTCATCCACCCACCCATGCAACCAAATCCCATCCTGGTCAGGACCTGTGCTAATGCCCATATATTGATATTTAGAAATTATTTCTTGCTTAGCATTACCTTGCTCCAAACTCTTCTTTTAAAATGTATAGCCCACCCTCTCCCCCCCGAATTTTCCTCCTCAGGGATATCCCCTTAACTGCTTACGATCTCAGTGTGAAAGAATTTTTCAGAACTTTTCCTCTCTGATTATGGCCAGGAAGAAAACACAGGATATCTGGGGGCAGAGGGTTCAGAAAATTGGGGTAAAAATAGCGTGTTATCCTTATGTTTAATCCCCATTGATTCTTATTCAAATGAATCATTATTTTTATCTAAGTAATATAAACTGACTCACAATGTTATATTCCTCTAGTCTAGAAGGCTGATACTACATTATACTATAAAAGAAGGGCAAGACTCATATGTCCTTGTCCCTTCACCCCCCACTTGCCCCATCTCACTTTCAATTTTTTAACTGTTTCTTCTAACATTTACTTCCATATTGCTAAATAACATGCATGCATTGTCTTTTGATTCATTACAATTAATCTATTTGTGTCTTATTATAGTAGATGAGGATTAAATTTTCTTACAAATCCCCTCCCCTCCTCCATTCTCCCAGTAGACTTATACCACAATTGAATGTTTGCATCATTATGATTACGCAAATACTGTTCACCGATGAGCCAAGAATTATACTATGATCACATTTCTTTCCTCAAACAATTTCTGCATTTTCAGGAGTTAATAATTGCCTAATTCATTTTTCCCCTTTGCATAGTTTATTTGAACCTGTGGCCGACTCTTCCTATACCTTCCAACAGTCTTGTAAAATACCTCTCAGTACAATTGTCCACAGGGTCACATTAGCAAAGCTTTCAGATTATCTCTCAGGTTTATTATTGTTGTTTTGTTTGGTTTGGGTTTTGAGGCTTTTTGTCTCTAGAAATGTCCCTCCTGGGGCCCTCTGGCTTGTTCCAATCTGAGCCATTTGCGTTGTGAGCTTGCTGCACAGCTGTCATCCTGTAAATTCCTTTCAACTCTCCCCTGGATATGTTCCCTGTTTTGTGAATCTCTTTCTTGGTTTACATCCTTGTTTTGGTTGAGCATCACCTCCTGAGTAAGGGTGACGATAAAGAACATTTTTGAGACTTTGCATATCTGAAAATATTTTTTCATTTTGCCCTCTGATTTGATTAATAACTTGGCTGAGGATAAAATTCCTGGTTGAAAATAATCATTTGCTCAGAATTTTGAAGGCATTACTCCATTGTCTTCTGTCTTCAATCTTGCTATCGAGAAGCCAAATACTTCATATGTGACTTATTTTTCTCTCAGGAAGTTTTCTTGTTCTTCTCTTTATCCCTAGTCTTCTGGAATCTCACAATGCTCTTGCACTGGGTTCGAGGAGGGCCCTTTAAATCTGGAAACTCATATCCTTCGGAGCTGGGAAGCTATTTTGCGTTATTTCAGTGATAACTTGCTCCCACCATTTTCTGTTTTCTTTCTGGAAATTCTTATTAGTTTGATGATGGAGAGCTTGGATTGTTCTTTCACTTTTCTTTATTCTCATATTGTCCACCAAAATGTAAGCTACACAAGGACATGGGACTTTTATCAGTTTGTTGTTGCTGTTGATGATGATATAATGATATATTTCAGGAGCCTAGAACAATACCTGGTACATAGTAAGCATTCAAGCAATTTTGATGAATGAAATCTCTATCTTTTTGCTCTACTTTCTATGTGATTTCCTCGACTTTATCTTCAAAACTGTTTACTGAAATTTTTTTTGCTATTATATTTTTAATTTTCAGGAACTCTTTTTTGTACTTTGATTAGTCTTTCTTTCATATAATCATGTCCTTGTTTTAGTGATGCAATATCCTCTTATTTCTTTGAGAATATTAATTATTGTTTCATAGACATTTTCTTCTGCTCTCTACATTGTTTGTTTCAATTGTCTATTTCAATTCCTTCTTTTCTCTTTGTGTTGGCCTCTCTCTTTCAACTTAGAGTTTTCTTTCAAATGACTGGTGATCTTTGGTTATCCATTCCTGTTGAAGAGGCAAGAACTAAAGAGCACATTGTAAGTTGTGCTGCATAAGTGGGGCTTAGGAACTGGTGGGCAGAACTTACTGCCTGCAATTTCTAAGCCTTTCCAGAGTCCTCTAAGCTTGCTTGTTGTTGGGATTCTCTTCTAACCCTTAGGTCTCCTTTTAGCATTTATTTGCATCTCCAGCCATTATCGCCACCGTGGTGTTCCTATGCTCTTACTGACTCAGTAATTATTGGCTGCTATTCCATTTTCTTTCATCCTTTCTCTCTTTCAGCCAGCTTTTTCTCTTCCTATTTTCTTTTTCCTTTTTCCTCAATATTTAATGAACACCTGCTAACCGTCAGACACTGTGCTAAGTGCTATAGATATAAAAATGAATGAGACATGGTCCCTTCCTTCAAGGCACTCACCATTTAGAGAGGGAGGAAGCTGTGCACACAGATGACATCAATGTAATGTCATCCCAGCCATTATAAAGGAATGTATTGGGTGTTATGTGAGCCCAGAGGAGGGGCTTAGGGAAGCCTTCCCGGAAGTATGATGTGTGAGTGGAGTGTTAAAGTGTGCTGTACTAGTTTTCTACAGTTGCTGTAACAAATTACCACAAATTTATTGCCTTAAAACAACATCAACTTATTATCTCCTAGTTCTGCAGGTTAAAAGTCTGCGTGCAGTGTGGTTTGACTGGTTCCTATGCTTTGAGTCTTATAAGGCCAAAACTAAGGCTTCAGCAGCTCTATTCTCTTCTGGGGCTCTGGAAGTAAATCCACTTCCAAGCTCATTCAGGTTGATTGCCAATTTCAGTTCCTTGCAGTTGTAGGACTGAGGTCCCCATTTCCTTGCTAGCTGTCAGCCAGAGGCCAGTCTTCACTCCTAGAGGCCACCTTCATTCCTTCCATTGATCTCCATGTGACCTCTCGGCAGCAACAGTGGGTTGAGGTCCTCTCACACTTCAAATCTATCTGACTTCCGCCACATATCTCTGACTCCAGCTGGAAAAAGTTCCATGTGATGAGATTGGGCCCACCCAGATAATCCAGGATTATCTTCCCTATCTTGACGTTCATAACCTTAATTACATCTGCAAAGTCCCTTTTGCTACTTAATGTAGCATATTCACAGGTTCCAGGGATCAGGACCTGGATATTTTGGGGAGAGGGGCATTCATTCTACCTACAACAATTACATTTAGGAAAAATGGAGAAAGACTGTTCTGGGCAAAGGCCTGTAAAGGTGAGAAATCATTGATTTCAGGAAACCACGGGTAGTTCAATATGAGTGGCACACGCATCAAAATTAGGTTGGAGAGAGAGAGGCAAGGGCCAGATAATAATAGGCTTTCACTATTCCAGCTCTCTTGTTGTCCTTAGTTTCTTTTTTCCTTTTAGTGTCTTTTGGGTACACTATAGCAGAATGATTAGAATGTTTCATCTGAACTCTCCCATATTGCCAATTGAAACCGTCCTCCCCATCTGAATTCACCCTGGTTGATCCTAGCCTCCATCATGGCCTGATTTCATGCCAGCCTTCAGTCTCTTTCCTTTCACAGTCATCTCTCTGCTCACTGTACTGGCAAATAAGAATCTTAGCAACTGGTGCATTTGCCATCTGGATGGCCATATGTAATCCCATAAATCTTGGTCTAATTTTCCCACAACGCTACTTTTGGCGTGTCACTACACTGCTCAATGGATCCTGATGGCTCCTCTTTGCCTGTGGAATCCAAACCAAATTCTTAAGCCTGCATTGCCAAGTCTGAGTCTACCCTGCCATGTCAACATTCTCACATACTCGATCCTAGTCAGCTTGGCCTCTTCGTTGCCTTCTGCCCACCATATTCACTCTCTCATGCCTTTGCTCTTTTTTCCCTCTTTTTCAATCATAATGTCTCATTCCCTCTCCCTTCTGTGCATCCAAACTCTGCCTAGCCTTTCAGATATAACACAAATCATACATGTTTGATGAAACTTTCCCCAAGACTTGAGCTCCTCATTAATCCTTTGTTCCTCTTCGTAACTTCCTATGGCTCCTGATGCATGTCTGTACCATGCAGCTTTATGCTAAATTATGTGCTTTTCAATCCTCATTGCAAACTTTCTTTGACTTTAATGATGCCATGTGTGGAAGTCTCATCTTTGCAACTGCACTATAAGTTACTTGAGGACAGACCTCCTCTCCCATTAGATTTTGGATGGGATTTTTTTTTCAGCTTTTATCCAAATATCAGACATTTTGTATACAAATTAGAAAAATGTGAAAATGCATATGTATTTCTGTTCCAGCTATAAATGAAATAGTCATCTAAACCAAAACTCAAGGGGAGAAGCTTTCCTATAACACCATTTTTTTTTTGCACAAGATAATAAAATCTTTATCTCTGCCATAAGAAATTTTTACCAAGTTTCTCTTTGTATTTATATATTTCTGTGCCAATGAAAGTGTGTACTTATTGTGCTTTCTCTAGCTTTCCCCACAGCCCAGTGTTCTGTCACTTGGCCAAACGTGTGGATGATTTATTGGCGGTGGTGTTGTTTAATCTAATTCTCGCATAGTTTTCACCAGGAATGATGGGAGGAGAGAACTACACTTTGTAGAAGCTGCCAAACTTTTCCCTAAGACATTTTGCAAATAAGATACTGGATTTATTGCAAAACTCATTCCTGTAAACAAAATTGTATAGTAAATTCAGTTCCAAATCACGAAGTCCGTACGGTTCTAACTAGAGGGTTTGGGGACTCAAAGAACCAAATATTTCTTTGATTCTAAGCAGAAAACTATTACTGGAAGTGCTGACAGTTGAGAAGTTTGAGACATATGGTCCTATTCTCTTTCTCCAAAATGAGAATGGTGAGTTTGCAGTAAATTGATAGTGTAAGTAAATCTAGCACTTGAAAGAACTTAATTAAATTTCCCCCATCTTCAGTGTAAACACCAGACAGAATCTATCCTTCTGGTAAGGAAAGGTAATGGAATTCCCCTATGGCAAATGGCTATTGCACTAGACTAGCTCTTGTTGAAAAGGCAGGAATGATGCTCATGCAAGATAGCCTGCAGTCAACAGCAGATAGAGACTCTCCAATTTTGAGAGAGAAATATATCACAGAAGAGCACTAATGTGTCAGCTTCTTAGGAGCACCAAGCATTCATTCTTGTGAGCTCTAACACAAAAGCTAATAGGTTCCACAGCAAAAGGGAAAGGACCCATCCTCGCCAGACTGGTAAACAACATGGCAAGTGCAGCCACAGAGTGAGGGGAAAGGAATGGAAACATGTAAGGTACAGACTTTAGTTGAAAAATATTCCAGAATAATACTAACATTTAGGGAGTTAACAACTACTTCAGAATTCTAGAAACCTGAATGGCTAACTGAATTTTTGTGACTTGTTTTTCCTGACAAGAAAAGGTGTTCACACGGAAAACCAATTTGGATGAATATGCAGCAGATAGTAGTGCACCACCCCAAACCCAGTAGTGCCATTCAGCACCACTTACAGTTGCCCTCACTCCCCAGGCTCTTTGCACCTCTGCCTTTGAGTTCATGCCCTTCCCTCTGCCAGTGATGTCCTTGTTTCCTTGCCTCTTGTCTGCTCCAGGGAGTCTTCCTTTTCCTTCAAGACTCAAGGAGCACCTCCTCCATGAAGTTTCCCAGATTTCCACCCCCCCAAGAGCTAACTACTGCTTCCTTTGTGTTACCCCCTACACAGAACCTGTCCAAATGTCCACCATTACACCTGCAACTTTTTATCATGTCTTTCCACGTTTGTTTCTCCTCTCTAAACTGTAAGTTCATTGAAAGCAGGAACATGCATTTTTAACTCTCAGTATATCTATAGACTGTAGTACAGGAACCAGCATATAGTAGTTGTTCAATAAATGTTTGCCAAACGAAAAATGATTTAATTAAGCGTGAGGAATGAGGCAAATGTAATGCTGAAGCAGTATGCCTAAAAAGGATCATTTCATCATTTTAATCATCTTATTGATGAATCCCAGTCTCCACCTAGTTGATTTATTTGCAGAAATGTAAGAATGATCTTTACCACTATTTTGGCTCTTACAATTGCCTACTTCACATTTCTTTTAGACATTTTATTTTTTCTTTAATAGAGTGCCAGTTTCTTGAGGGTAGGTGAATGTTTCCTTTTTGTGCACTGTACACAACAGGCACTCAATAAACGTTTGTTGAGTTAATTAATTCCTCACTTGTGCATAGCGCTTTACAGTTGACAAAGCGCTTCATGGTAACCCAATGAGATAAGCAAAGCATTATTCTCTCTCTCCTTCCTCTTGTTTTAGTTAAAGAAACTGACGATAGAATGGACCAGAGCCTTGCCCACCTTCAAACAGTGGGCAAGAATCAGGGCTGAGAGCCCTGGGAGGCCCCTGCCTCTTGCACAGAGATCTTTTGTTCCTTCCCCTTGTTCTCTCTGTTTAGACCAATCAGCTTCTCTCTGTAGGGAACGTCCTTTTGGAGAATTGTCCTCATTTAGTTCATTGCTATAAACCACCTAATCAAACTTTTTTTCTAATTTCAACTTTTATTAGCTTGCAACATAACATAAAGCAGTCTTACACAGCATTCTGTATCTTTTTGATGAGGCAGCTACAATCCAGATTTTTAAGAAAGCTTCTCAACTCAAAACTATACTTTGCATTTTTTAAAACATTTTAAAATTGAGATATAATTAACATATAACATTATATTGGTTTCAAGTGTACAACATAACGATTCGATATTTGTATATATTGAGAAATGGAATTGAATGTTTCTGACAGTAAGTAGTAACAGCTGCCATGTTTCATTGTCTAAAGGAGATTCTTCAGGCCCTGGCCTGTAGTCATGGATGACGCCTTTCTGTTTGCTGGAGGTAAGACAAAGAACATAATCTTTCTCTGGAGCTGGCCCAGAACCTAGATCAAATTATACCAAAATCCACATTGTCTGAGTGGTTAGTCAATCACATGATTGATGTGAAAAAACAGTATTCTGCATTTTATACCATGCATTATACTTCCTCAACATCCATTCAAATAAATTACTGCATTGAGACCATCCATAAATCCCGAGGGGGAATTAAGGTAAACATTTTTATCCCCAGGTGAAACACAAGAAAATAGCTTCAGAATGATTAAGTAAATTACCTAGGTTTGGCTAGTACTATTTTCTTGGCTGTAAAAAATTTTTAGAAGCCTGGACACCCTTTAAAAGAAATTTTATCAGGAGCCAAGGTGAATATGCACTATGGGCCAAAAGACTTGAAGCTCGATAAAACAAACCAACTGCACAACAAGAGGGGAAACGCTTTTGTAGTTAACTGGCAAATTCAAAGGGGTTATTGTTGAGAAACAAGTATCGAATAAGTGAAAATTCATTTTTATTACATTAGTCTCTGACAGGCAAGTATGGAAACAATGGTGTACTCTGATTGGTTAAAATGGTATTGCAACACCAAAAAAGAGAAAGTAAATTGTATTAATGCTACATACACTGCTAACTACTGTGCAAGAACTTCTCAAATACACTACGGAGGAGGTTTTCTTTATGATCCCTGGCAAACTTGAAGGAAGATCCTGATTTCTATTGATATGCCACTTAATTTTTCTGAACCTCAGTTTTTCCATCTATAAAATGGAGGAAATGATATCTACTTCATATAGGGTTGCTGTGGGAGTTATCCAGCCAGGATCTAGCACATAATGGATGGCTGAGAGGAGGCGAGATTCAGTAACGGTTACTTTAAATTTTTTTCCTTCAGAAGTTAGATGTTATTTGTCCCAAAATGTAACAAGGATCAGTCAGATGTAATATATAACTCTTAATAACATAGCTAGTATTTCTAGTTAAACAAACCCTGAACTCGTGTGTATGCCACATAAATACTATTGCCTTTCAAAGCGTTTCCCTTGGGAGAACATCTACTTATTCTTGTTATGCTCAAACATTTCTAGAAATAAGAATTGCCTTCAGAGCCAATTGCAAAGCCCTCAAGAAAACCAATGCCATTTCTTAATTATCACACTTCATTTTTAACTCAAAATTTATAGCCCAGAACTATCACTTGTCTTATTTGTTTGACTTGGCTGTAAGTGACATTTGGTTATTCTCAAATGCCTTGTCTATTCTCCAGTGACCAAGATCTATTTCGACTGAGTAAATTCGAACATGTGCCACAGGCTATGAAGGCAGTTATCAAGTATCTTTAAATAATCTTTCAAGGATATTACTTCAGAGACTACACACATGCCTAAGTTCTGGTATACCTGTTTTTAAATCAATGTTATCAATTCATATTAGCACCGTATAGGTAGATATTTGGAGCAGAATAAGCGGAGTTGAAGCTAAGACAGAGGTCATAGCCTTGGTTTGTTGTTGGAATTGTGTCACTGTCATTTATGGGCTCTATCTCTACCTCAGTACTTGGGTCCTTCTTGAGCCCTGGTGGCAACTGTTTGCTAAATGTTCGTGGAACCATTCAACTCCTTACGTTGATTTTTAAGAACATGGACAGTATCTTATACTTTCAAACCCAGACCTTCACCGTTCTCAGTCCACTGCTGTAGCCAGCACACCATATTTGAATGAATAAACTCAGATCTCCTGGTTGCTTATTACATGAATGAACTTTGGACATCCTATATGGGTTGGCAGTCTTGTTTCTGTAACTCGTCTGACCTCTGATTTACTGCTGCAAATACATTACACTCTGGTATCATGGTTCCAGTCCCAGCCCCTGCCACACATTTCCTGGCATGACACTACATGTGTGTTTTTCTTGATGTGTAGGCAAAAATCAGCAGAATCTCTATTATAGTCTCCAGTAGTCAGTCTCAAATACTTAACAAAAAAACTCCCTATTATTCATAATAATACATACTTAATTTTACTTCATTCAAGTAATACCCTTAGCAGGTATTAATGACATATTTGTTTGGATTAACATAAGCAGATCTAAAAATAAACCAATAATGCAATATTTACCTTCAGTCCATATGGAGTAGTAAGTAAATATTGTCCAATTGGCAGTAACACCCAAAATATGAAGTTGTGTTCAACCACAATGTTGTTTAAATGATGTGATTATGTGATGCGATTATACTATGATTATGTTAGGCAAAAGCCCAACCAGAAGAACCAAATTTTAATATTTAATAGAATGCTACATCAAAGTATAAGTTAGCTAGTTCTTTGGGGTCACTTTCCAACCCATAAAAATAGCATTTCTAAATGACAAAACTATCTACTGCCAAAAATCTTCCATGTCCTTTGTCTCTTAATTCATGGAAATACGCTGTGGTTTAGCAAAAACAGAGCCTTTGGAGACTGTTAATTTCAATACTCTCCCAGGTAGTGGTTCTGAGTTGGATTCTCCCCCTTCAGGTAAAAATCTAAAATTTTCTGTTTTTCTTAATTCTCTAACTAGTCCATCCTCTATATTTTTCTCTTACCTGCTCACATCTCACTGAACCTAAGAAAAATTCAATGACTGCATGAAAGTAGCTCATAAAGTCCAATCCCATTAAGGGCCCTCAATGTGCAACGCCAGGGTACAGGAAGCAAATTCTTAAATTAGAATCCCTTTTACAATGTAAACAAATTGCATTGTCTTCCACACAATAGGAATTGGGTCCAAGGAATCCATCTTTTAAAGAAAGATATGGAGACAAAACGTTCCTCTGAAGTCATTAAAATTTAAAAATGAATTTGTAGATATTTATATACTGCTGTTAATAACATGGAAGGATTTCATGATAGGCATTTAAATGATAAAAGCAGGGTACAAAACAGTATGTACAATGTAATAATACATATATCTTACATGTAGCACACGAGATATTGTGTGATAAGAATGACACTTTACCTCTGTGGTCTTCCTCCCCAAATCCCGAAACCTCAGTCTAATTATGAGAAAAAATTCACACAAATTCCAATAGAGGGGCATCCTATAAACCCCTGACCAGTACTCCTCAAAACTGTCAATGTCATCAAAAACAAAGACAGTCTGAGAAACTGTCACAGCTAAAAAGAGCCTAAGGAAATATGATAACTAAATATAGTGTGGTAACTAAACGTAATGTATGCGATCTTGGAACAGAAAAAGGACATTAGGTAAAAACTAAGGAAATTTGAATAAAGTATGGACTGCCATTAATCATAATGAATCAATATTGATTCATTAATTCTAACAAATGCACTATACTAACGTAAGGTGTTAACAATAGGGGAAACTGAGTGTGGGTTGTAAGGGAACTCGCTGTACTATCTTCACAATTTTTCTTTAAATCTAAATTTATTCTAAGATAAAATTTTATTTAAAAATATGTAAGCGTGGTTACCTCTGGGTGGTAGGATTTTAGATGAACTTTATGTTCTTCCTTTTTGCAGTCCGTAGTTTTCTACAATTAACATGTATTGCTTTAGTAATTTAAAAAACTAAACTTTATTTGTAAAATTATGTGAATTTATATTTTGTTCATTACAATAACGTCTATGTAAGTTTAAAACATTGTATGTATGTCCCAGATCTATTTATTGTGTACAGACAATATTTGTTGTGTACATGAATTTGCAAGCCCCTAAGGAATCCACAGCCTCTAGTTTGGAAACTTTGACCTTAACCTTAGATGAATCTGGAATCCTGCTCACGGTCTAGTCTTTCCTGATCATGCTGAAAAGAAGCTGATCTTTCCAGGCTGTCTGAAAACTTTTTGGAATTCCCATTTTTACTCTTTGCTACTTTTTCCTAAGATGTACTCCCAGTCAATGTCATTAATTAATGAAGGTTAGAGAGGAGAATAGGGTAAGAGGTGGGGAAAAAAAGATATATAATCTACCTGTAAATTATGAATAGTGGAACCCAGTTCACACCCAAAAGACCCTTTCCTAATCTTAATATGAAATGCTCATCTTTTCTGACGTGTTCATCTTTTCTGACACACAAATATGTGCCAAAAAAAGATTTGATTTTTCAAGCTAAATTTTCATTTGCACATATTTAATTTTAGTTTGCAAATTTACATAAAAGATAGGCAGAACATAAAGGGCTTTATTTCCTGTACAGTACCTGGCACACTGTAGTTGATGAGTACGAGTTTCCTTCTTTCCCTTCCTCTTTGCCATTAGGTTCATAGCTTTTATGTTTTTTACACCACTTACTTGCCCTTGGATGTCTTAAGTGTCTAAAAATTCATCCTCCCCAAATCATGGCTTACAGAGCAATATGTGGCTGGATGGGCAACCATAAAAAGGAATAAACCTCATTTTCATCCATTAAAATTTTTATTGACTATCTCCTAGGTGCTGGGGATACAGGGTCTGGTACACAGTAATGTTCAATAAATATTAGTTGAGTTAATGAATAAGGTTCTTGCCATTAGGGAGTTTATACACCAGTGGAAGAGACAAACAAACAGACAATTAAAATACAGTGTGAAAGTATAGTGTTTTATGAGAACACAGAGGAGGGGCACCTTACCTGCTCTGAAGCACCCAAGGAAGGCATCCTGAAAGGAAAGACATCTAAGCTAAATTCTAGGGGATAAGTAGGAGTTAAATGGGAGAGCTGTTGAGTATGGTGTGGGAGGAGATGGAAAAGGGAAAGGTACAGAGGCAGAAATTCTCATGGTATATGTAAGGAATAATTTAGATATATCGAGGGGTTCCTGTTGAACATTCATAAATGAAAAAAAGTTTTAATGTCAGTTTGGAGCCAAATTAAGGAGATCCTTGAATGCCCAATTGAGCAATGTGTGCTTTATCTTGGAGACAATGAGGCATAATCACTTATTTTTGAGTAGGGCACTGACTGACATGTACAAAGTAGTTTTTCAGAACAATGTTCTCAGAATCTTAGGTTGACCTAGAAGGGACAATGTTAGAGATGGAGAGGAGAATGAGGAGGCTCTTGTAGTGTGAGATGAGGAGGATCTGAACTAAGATAGTGAGGCTGAGAATGGGAAGAGGTAGTGGCAAATGGATGTAGGAAATATTCAAGAGGAAGAATCAATAGGACTTGATGTCCTGACCAAGCATAAGGGAGAAAGGGAGACGACCTATACAATAGATGCTCATTAAGTACATGAGCTTCATCAGTTGATTTGACTTGCCGTGGTTCTCAAACTTGACCTTGCATCAGAATCCCCTGGAGGGCTTATTAAAACACAGATTGCCAGGCCCAACCCCTGAGTTTCTGATTCAGTAGGTCTGTGATGGGACCTGAGACTTTGCATTTCTAAGTTCCCAGGTGATACCAATGCTACTTCTCTGGGGGCCACACTCTGAGAACCGTTGAACTATGGAACATGTCATATCTTTTGCAGCAAACAGACCATTAGTATCATGTTTTAGTCTTTTTAACAAATGATGCTAGAACAACCAGTTAGCCACATGCAAAGAATTAAATTGGGCTTACCTCACATTATATACAAAAATTAACTCAAAATGGATCAAAGACCTAAATGTAAGAGCTGAAACTATAAAACACTTAGAAGAAAACATAGGGTAAATCTTCACGACATCGGATTTGGCAAATCATTCCGTGATATGATATCATAAGTGCAAGCAACCAAAGAAAAAATAGATTAATTGAATTTAATCAAAATTAAAAACTGTTGTGCTTCAAAAGACTATTAAAAAAGTGAAAAAACCTACAGAATGAAAGATCATATTTGCCAATCATAAGTCTGTTAAGAAACATATGTAGAATATATAAAGAATTCTTACAACTCAATAATAAAAAGATCAATAACCCAACTTTAAAATGGGAAAAGGAGCTAAATAGACATTTATCCAACAAAGATATACACTTGACCAATAAACACATGGAAAGATGCTCAACATCATTAGCCATCATCGAAATGCAAATCAAAATGACAATGAGATAGCATGGCACACTTACTAGGATGACGAGATACCATGGCACATATACTAGGATGGGTAGAATCAAAAAGTCAGACAATGACAAATGTTGAAGAGAATGGGGAGAAACTGGAACCCTTAGACACTGCTGGTGGGAATGTAAAGAGGTGCAGCCACTTTGGAAAACAGTCTGGCAGTTTCTTAAATAGTTAAACCTAGAGTGACCGTATGACACAGCAATTCTACTCCTATGTACATACTCAAAAGAAATGAAAATATATGTCCCCACAGAAACCTGCACACAAATGTTTATAGCCGCATTATTCATAATAGCGAAAAGGTGGGAACAATCCAAATGTCGCTTAACTGATGAACAGCTAAACAAAATGTGGTACATTAATACAATAGAATATTATTTGGCCATGAAAAGGAAAGAAGTACTGATATATGCTACCACATGCGTGAGCCTTGAAAACATTATGCTAAGTAAAAGAAGCCAGTCGCAAAAGACCGCATATTATGTGATTCCATTTAAATGAAATACCCAGAATAGGCAAATCTGTAGAGACATAAAGTATATTAGTGACTGGTTAGGGCTGGGGGAAGGGGGGGAAAGGGAGGCAGGAGCTAAAGGGTTTCTTTTTGAGGTGATGAAAATGTTCTAAAATTGACTGTGGTAATGGTCACACACTCTATGAATTTAGTAAATACCATTGAATTGTGCACTTTAAGTGGGTGAACTATGTGATATGTGAATTATATCTCAATAAAGCTATCTTTTGAAAAAGAAGGCTGACAAGAATCCATAGAAAAAAATGAAGAGAGGGAAATGTCTTCTGGGCAGAGGTAACAACACAAACAGAGGCACATGGGAAAGAAATATCATATGTACAGAATAGTATAAGCAGTTTAATCAATTCATCACTATTTAACACTATGTTTCAGGCACTTTTCTAGGCACTGGGATATGTAGTGAACAAAACTGACAAAAATCCCTGTCTTCATGGAGCTTACATTCTAATAGGGGAAAAATATTAAACAAAATGCCTAAAGCATAGAGTATATTAGAAGAGGATAAGTGTTTTTGAGAACAAAAAATGAAACAGATAAAAAAGATTGAAGGCACTGTATTGGGGAGTTGCAATTTTATACAGAGTAGCCTCACCACAGAAGTAGCTTTTAAGTAAAAGACCTGAAGGAAAGAAGGGAGCTCTGTGGATCTGGGGAAGGACAGATGGCACAGCAGGTGCGAAGGTTGGTGCCAGAGTGTACCTATCATCTTGGAGGAACCAGGTCACACAGGGCCTTCTAGACAATTGTAAGGACCTTGACTTTACTCTGAACAAGGTGGGAAGCCTCTGGATGGTTTTCTGGCTATAGCAGGATCACTCTGGCTACCGTGTTGAAAAGACCACTGAAGGGGGCGCGTGGTAAGTGCAGCAGCAGCAGCCAGAGCAGTTAGGAGAATATAGCAATAACCCAGGAAAGTTAAACTGGTGGTTTGGACCAGATTCACGGCAGCGAGGGTGGTAAGAAGTGGTCATATTTTCGATATATTGTGAAGGTAAGACCTTCAGTATCTCCAGATGGATTGGATACAGTATGAGAGAAACAGAAGACTCAATGACAAATGCAAGGGTTTGGCCTGAGCAGCTGGAAGCTGAAATTGCCATTTACTGAGATTTTTAAGACTACAGGAGGAGCCGGCCCGGTGGCGCAAGCGGTTAAGTGCACGTGGTCCCCTGCAGTGGCCTGGGGTTTGCCGGTTCGGATCCCAGGCATGCACCAACGCACTGCTTGGCAAGCCATGCTGTGGCGGCGTCCCATATTAAGTGGAGGAAGATGAGCACGGACGTTACCCCAGGGCCAATCTTCCCTATCAAGGAAAAAGAGGAGGATTGGCAGATGTTAGCACAGGGCTGATCTCCTCACAAAAAAAAAAAAAAAGACTACAGGAGGAGCCTAGTTTTCATTTTGGAGGAGAGGTGGTTATTAAGGTTCAGTGTTGGACATGTTAAATCTGAGATGTCTGAATACATACAAGTAGAACTATAAAGTAAGTATGACTCTAGAGTTGAGGGGAGTGGTCTGGACTGGACATGTAAATTTGGGAGTCTGCAGTATATGAGATGGTATTTAAAGCAATGAGACTAGGTGCAAATTTAAATTTACTAAAACCATGATGAGTTTAGTTATACTAGAATATAAAAGGTGTGAAGGTGGGAAATGTACTTGGAAGGTAAGCAGGGACAAGATTATAGAAGATGTTTATATTCTATGTTTATGAGTTTGTACTTTATCTTGACCAGGAGTCGCTGAAATCAGCAGAAAGATATAGTCAGACTTGCTTCAAACATACTTTCTTCATGACACTGGTGGAAGTGTGAAGGAAGGACTAGAGAAACACAAACCATTTAGGAGGCTATTACAAAGTTTAGGAAAGAGATGTCACACAAATATTTCTTAAATCTTTCTACACACTAGGGCAGATGTAGGATGGGACAGATGTAAGAAATACTTGGAAGGTGGCAGGACTGGATAGTTGTTTGGTTATGGGAAGCTAGGATGAAGGAAGAGTGGAGGATGATACCCAAAGTTCTATTTTCAATAGCTAGTGGATGGTGGTACCATTTCCTGTGATAAGAAACACAAGAAAGAGAGAAAGTTCTGGAAATTAAAAGAAAAAACAATGATATGCTAAATATCGAACATAGTAAATTTGAGATGCCCTTAGGATCAACCAACTCCCTTGGCTTTCAAAGTGATCCTTTAAGTTAATTTTGTTCATCTTGTCCATGTGGGAATAACATTCACTGAGTTAATTAGCACAAGTGCTGTGGTCAGCGTGAAAATCAAATTTCTCTGTGTAAAATAATTATTTAGACTTTTAGGAACTGGTTCACGGGAGTGGACTCACCCCTCCAACCTCACCTCCAAACTTCTAATCCCTCAGCTTTCCGGGTGACACAAAATTGAGTTCTAGACCATTCAAAGCCGAAGGTCAAACTGAGACTTACAATTCCTTGAGCCACGGCGATCTCCTGAAGGTGCCTGCTTTGAGCAGCAGCAACCCAGCCTCTCTCCCACTGACGTTGTCGAAGCAACAAGGAAGTGTGTAGCATCTTCTTTTTATAAATCTAGGAAATGTATTTTACTTTTATTGTTATGAAAACTTTGAAAATGAAGAAAAAGAAAAAAAGTAGGTGTTTCTAATTTAATATTCTACTGACACCTAGTGCCAGAACTCTGCATATTCAGCTAGCCTCTCCAAATAAGAAAAAAATTAACAGAATTTATACACTGCCATGAATTCCAAACAGGCAATAACAATGATTTATTTTAGCAAACAATAATATCTATCTTTACGTTAATTTTTCACACCATTTCTTGCATTTATATATCAGCCTTTTAAAGCATTCAGACATCAGTCCTTTTAAACGACGAAGAATTCACTTTTAAGGCAATTTCTTTCTAGTCTCGATTCTGGTTATCTGCTGGGGGATTTCCTGAGAGCGCATGGAGGCCCAAGTAGGCTAAAGTCTCACTTTCTCTAAGTTATGAAGCACTTAGCATAAATTCCCCTTGGAAGTTGAGTCAGATGGGGCTGGAGTCTACAATGTTTTCATAACCATACTTTTCAACTATTGAAGAATCCCCAATTTCACATTAAGGGTTTATACTAAACAGTCAAAATTTAGCTTCCGTGAAATTATTATAAATTGTCATTTATAAAGAAGAATGAATTAGTAAATCGAGGAGGGCAAGAGTGACTTTTTCCCCAGCTTTATTGAGATATAATTGACATATAACATGGTGTAAGTTTAAGATGTACGATGTGATGATTTTATATATGTATATACTGTGAATTGATTACCATGCTAAGGTTAGTTAACACATCTTTCACCTCATACAGTTACCTTATTTTTGTGTGTGGTGAGAACTTTTAAGACCTACTCTCATAGCAACTTTCAAGTATACAATACAGTA